ACCTAGTGTGGGGAAAGAGATGAAATCTACTTAAGTGTAGAGAAAACCCCATTCCATCTCTTTTCCCACACTAGGTACAAATACTGGATTACTTTCTTTTCATTTTATTCAAATAACAACAAAAAGAGACCCCCTCTCCCCTTTCAGGCAGGGTAAAGTGAGGAGGGTGGTCTTGCTTAGATAACTCCCCTTTCCCATAATAAGCAACATCTTATCTCTCCCTCTTCCTCTCTCTCTCTCTCTTTCTCTCTCTTGTTCATCTCTCTCTTTCACCCTTCTCTTTCTCCCTCTTTCTTTCATATCCCTTTCTCTCTCTTTCTCCCTCTCTTTCACCCTCTCTTTCTCCGTCTTTATTTCCTCTCTCTCTTTCTTCCATTTTTTAAAATCTCCCTTTCTCTCTCTTTCTCTCTCTCTCTCTCTCCCAGTTCTCTCGCTACACTGTTTCTTGGAGATGAACTGAGGGAGGAGGAGGGTGAAGCTTTCTGTAGCCCTCCCCACACGACTCCTGAAGTGACACCTGTGACAGAGGGAGACCGAGAGCAGGAGGCTGAGCTTTGGATTGCGGCAGGCATTAAAATACCCACCGGCAGTGCTTCCTTTGCCACGACTGCTGGGCGAGAGAAAAGATGTCAGGCTCCACCCCCACAAAGGGGAACAGCAGCGATCGCAGACAGCCCCGGCTGGCTGGGAAGGGGGACACTTCTCCTGTCTCCCCAACCTTTCCCCCAGCTGCTGTCTCCTTGCTTTTCCCCTTGGCTGCAGGGCTAGCCAATTGCTGCAAGAATGCAGCTCCTCCTGTACACGGAGAAGAGGTGCTGAGAGATGAGGCAGGAGGGTAGAAGGGGCTTTCAGAGGGTAAAGGGGATTAAATTGCAACCTTTCCCCATGCTCAAGGGGAGCCACTTCAGGTGACTATGGCTTTCTTTCCTGCTTAGAAATAGAAGTCCGGCTGATCGGGATTTTGTTTTTCTTGGTCTCGGAGCTAAGCTAAACAAGAGCTTTAAATGAGACACGGGGGAGGGCAGGGGCGGGGTCAAGGAGGGCAGGGGTGATTGATTTTCCTGCAGTCTGCCTAGCAAACCTGCATTGTGGCTCCTGCCTCCGCACATCGAGGAGGCTGAGCAGCAGCGGGAAGAGAGTGGAACTCCTGAGTTGCAGGAAGCAACTGCAAGCGATGCCCTCAGATGCCAAAGATGTTTCGAGTGGGAGGCTCGACCTCCCCAGGAGCCATAAAAGGGAGGGCGTGATCTCTCGCGCTGCCCCCACCCACCCCAGGAGCCACAAAGTGCTCGCTGCCCCTCGCCAAGCTGCCTCCTTCCCGCTGGGTGTGCGAGCACTTCTGGCGAGGAAAAGAAGCGCAGTGGGACAAGGCTTAGCAGATGCCAGAGGGGAGGCCAGCACTTTGAGGCTCCTGGGGTGGGTGAGGGGAGCACGGGAGATCACGGCCTCCCCTCGCAGGCCAGGGAACATCTGGGAAGGGCTCCAATGCTGCGATCTCCCACACGGTACCCTCCCTCCCCATTTATCACCTGTTACCAACACAGGTGCATTGTGGACCACCAGCCTTTCCTGGTGGCAGTGGCATGAGCGGGCAAGGGGTGGAGGGATACCCACTCCTCTGCCTGAATCACGCTCCGGGCAGCGTCCAGCCAGCCATGCCTGCCCTCCCTCCCCCCACTCCAGCTCACATGGATCCCAGGCCTTTCCTGCAGCATTGTTAAAAGCCACCGGGGATGCGAGGTGAGCACAGGGGAGCGACTGGTGGCAGCACTCCTGGCTAGCAAGGGGGAGGATGCAGGCACTGACAGCAAGCGGGCCAGGAGCAGGAGCAGCTGGACCTGGGCCGCAGCAAGCAAGCGAGGGGAGGAGGGGTCACAAAGTCAGCAACTTACCAAAAATTATGCAGTCAAGTGAGGAGTCAGGGCAAGCAGGCAGGCAAGCAGGCAAGCAAGCAAGCAGCAACGACAACAACCAAGGAGCAGGAACCAGAGAGCAGCCAAAGAACCATTAGGCAAAAAGTTAAGGTTTTTGCAAATAGGATGGGGAGGGCAGTGTGATCTACAGACCCGAAAATCAGCTAGGAGGCACACATGCACGGTGGAGCTGAATTGGGCTGGCCACTCATGTGCCCGCAGAGGGCTCTGCGTGCCACCGGTTCGCCATCACAGACCTAGGTCATGTATATTCATCACTAAGTACGTTGGATGCCAGATATTAATCAGTAAGGAGAAGAGTGTTTGATTATCAATAATGATAAGATTCCAGGGTTTTCAAACAAATTAATAAAGCTGTTTCAATCACATAGAACATGGGTGTCAAACTCAATCGCGTCATGGGACATATCATGATGTATCGCGATGTTTTTTGCCTTTGTGGAGCCGGGTGCCGGGTGGGCATGGCCTACACATGATATATCCAGCCTATGGGCTGCCAATTTGACAGGCCTGACATAGAACATACCATGTTTTCCAGAAAATAAGCCCTAGCTTGTACCACGTGACCACGTGTGCGGGGGTGCATGTGTGTGACTGGCATCAGAAAAGAAGCTCCAAGTGTCCACCTCCTTTCATCCCAAGTTGGAAGAGCCGCAGTGAGGGACTGCTGGTCAGTTTGCTGCCCAAACAACACCTTCACCGGCTTCTCCCCTTCAGTCACACCACCCGTTCCAGGAGAGTGTGGGAGCCGGCCAAAAAGCCTCGCCTTCGGCACACTCGCAACAACATACCCTGGCTGCCTTCAGTGTCTACCTCACCTGCGGCTGCTCTGCCCAGCCCACTGTTGTGGTTGGAAGTTTGACCGCGCTGGCCAAAAAGTCCCACCTTTGGCACACTTGCACTGACATGCATGCACTGCTCTTTTGTGCAGTGTCTATTGTGAAGCTTTGTGCTGAGGAAGGTCCACGCTTTCTCGTTCCCTTCTTCCCTACCCCTCCTCCAGCTGTTTTACATACAACCACCTGCCAGGGCTGGGGACTCCCTCGCGGGGCATGATTGAACTTCAAACCCCAACATCTCGCTGGGCGGAAGGTGAGGCAGCGGCAGAGCAGACTACCTCACCTGTGGCTGCCTCGCCTTTGCCCAGCCTGCTCCACGCATGGCCAGTACAGTGCCCACTGCAAGCCAGAAGTGTCCCAGCAGGACCAGCAGGTAGGGTGTGCGGAGGCTGGGGCACATTGAGAGCTTGGCCAGCGGGTGCCACGAGAGCAGCAGCAGGGTGGCGGCCAGAGCAGAGGTCAGAAAGGGCAGGTTACACATCAGCATGGATAGCATGGGGAGCTGTTCCTGCTGCCGCCTGTTGGCCTGGCTGAAAAGTAGCCCAGCCTGCACTCAGCAGCAGCAGGTGCATCAGGCAGGGCAGGCAGAGGCCAGGACATGCCAAGAGCTTGGCCTGTTGAGGCCATGGGCAAGCAGACAGTGGGATGGAGAGGGCGGGGCCGGCGGTAGCAACACTCCCACTCCCATCAGCCCCCATGCTCGCCGCCTCCTGTATTGAAAAAAATAAGACACCCCTGAAAATAAGCCTGAGTGCTTATTTCAGAGGTCAAAAGAAAATACGACTGGGTCTTATTTTCAGGGAAACACAGTAGAATAAGAGTTGGAAGGGATCTTGTAGGTCATCGTGTAGGTTAGTGGTCGCCAACCAGTGGGCCAGAGACCATTGGTGGTCCACGAGAAAATTTTGGTGGTCCGCAGAGAAATGTCACCCCCAAAGTAATTAATCCAGGCTGCGCAGGAACACAAGGTTGTGCCGCCCACATAGCCCACGGGAACACAAGGCTTGTGTCACTTGTGTTGCCAACAACACAAGGTAGTGAGGGGAATGGGGAAAGGGTGGAGGGGGGAACTTGCCCCACTCGCCCCACGCACTTCGCCTGGCCACCGGGCTGCTTCTTTCCACTTCTTTCTTCTTCTGCTTTTGGCTGCACACAAGGAAAGCAGCAAAAGTCTTTCTCTTCCCCAAACTCTGCCAGAAATGAGTCTTTGGGACCCTGCAAGGCATCCTGCTCCAAGAGGCTACGCCAGCGTGACAAGTCTCACAAAGACTCATTTCTGGTGGAGTTTAGGGGAGAGAAAGACTTCTGCTGCTTCTCGTGCATGAAGCCAAAAGTCTCTCTCTCTCTCTCTCTCTCCCCCTCCCCAAGAATGGAGCTGGAGACGGTATCCTGCGATCCCAAATAAAGAATGATCGGGGTGGGGAATTTTCCTGCAGACTTTTTTTGGGATTTTCCCAGGGTCTCTGGTCCACGGGATTTAAAATTATGAGTTTGGTGGTCCCTGAGGTCCAAAAGGTTGGTGACCCCTGGTGTAGGTCACATATAAGGTAAAGATACAACAGAAGACTGCAATAGTCCTGCTGGCTAAGTAAACAGAAGTTTAAAGATGAGGAGAAAACTAGAAATATAATTGTAAAGCAGTTTGTTAGGGTTTCAATCCCATATTTTATAAAAAAAGATGTGGTAAACAAAAATTTAACTTCAAAAACAACCTAATGTTGTATTACATTTCTCTGCTGTTCCTTTCTTTTTAGTGTCCTGAAGCTTTATTAAATACTTCATTTCCCAACACACCCAATATGCAGAGGCAAAATAGTTGGCAAAACTAGAAAGGATACAGTACGTAACTGACAGGACATACTGCCTAATTGCAATTTCAGCATGTCCTCATAAAGCTCTGACATAACTACTTTCATTTTGATGATCCTTGAACACACTTTCCTAACAAATTTAGTTTCAGCAAAATAACTGAATCACCATTCATTTCCAATGATGATTAGCTCCACTTGCCAATATTACAAAAAATATTTTTTGGTCTCTAGTAATCTGGATTATTAGACAATATTATTATTCTGGTCTTAAAGAATGTAAAAAATCTGTTTCTCTAAATTTATAGTTTTCAGAAAAATCACTATTCTGCATAATTCTGAATGGCAAAAGAATCCATGTTTCTGAGGTTTTGCTTAAGATTCTCTACTCAGTATAAAAGTATCTTGAGGATCCGTACCTGCGCCTCCTGCGATCTCGTGAAACACTGCGCTGATCCCTGTTGCGCCTGTCACGGCTACGACTGCGACGTTTCCTGTCACGACTCCGTGAACGACTGTGGCTGCGTTTACGATGACGATTCTCTTTATCACGTTCTAAAGCCAACAGGATAGAACACCGTGAACCATCCAACTGTTGCTTCAGAACAGAGAACATCTCTGGTTGCCGCAAACTATTTCATTTCCCTAAAACAGTGAGCTGGTGGGGGGTTTTCTGGCTTTCAAAAAGAGAACATTGAGGAAAAGAAACATTGCCAAGAAGAAACCGATACCATGAATGCATATCTGTTGTATAACCATCTAGAATTATCTTAATTGCCCCTGAAAAATGGCAACAACAAATGGATCAAAAGGGAGAAATAGAGACAAAATAATTGTTTTAGAATTTCTCAACATTAATATGGCACACAAAGTTTTCTCCAAATCTAGCAAGCAGAATGTTTGTATAGCCTAATTTGAAAACCCTTGATACATACCTTGAGACACAAAATTATTTTCCATGAGATTTTTGCAATATTCCCAAGAAGCAAAAAATGAGATAAACTAAAATGGGTCATTCCATGTCAAGTGGTCTGATTTCAGAAAAGTGAACCACCATGAACCAATGCAATATTATAATAGTAATGATGTCTATATAAAACAAACAAGACAAAATATAACAGAATGCATGTGACATTGGCATAGCAACAGGAATGGGATTCTGGTGGTTCTATCCGGTTCTATAGAACCCCTTATTAACTTTCTAAGTGTTTGTTTTTTTCCACCCTTATTACATTCTTGGCAGACAGCCAAGACTTGCTGTCTCCGGAGCTTCTGAGGCTTGGCTTTCTTAAAGGGGAAGGGTTGTTTTAAGATTTTTACACGGCTATTGGGAGGAAATACCTCCCTGGACAATCAGCACTTTGAAGAAATCATTGAAGAATGAAGCAAAGCTTTTAGTGACAGGGAATCAAGATGGGTGACATTCAGCAAGGCTTCTTGGCTAGCTAGAAGGATTGACATTCAAACGTGAGTTTACATACCCTTTCTGAGTTTTGGTCTAAAACTGGTTTTGGGTGAAGCTTAATTCTGTGCTTGGTGAAGTTTAATCCTGTGTTTACTGAAGGGTTAATTTTCCCTATTCAGCTTCAACAAGCAACAGCTACTGTTGTGATTTAATTATTTGTATTGTGTTTGAATTTTTTCTTGCCTCATGGTTTCTTTTTCTATTTGGGGAGCGGGTCTTCCTTCACTGTTTTAATACTATCTGGCACTGTCCTTTTGAGGTATACTTCCAAGAGGCAGGATGCAAGCTTGGCACTGGGTTTTTTTACTGCCTTGGGGGGGGGGGGCATGTGACCTTTCCTTAAATCTGGGTGATTTCCTTAGGATATCTTGTAAGGTGAGTGAGACCAGCTGGTATTTTTAAATGGTGCAAATGGATCTAGGGATTACTTTTCCTGGGTCTGCTTTTTCTGGAGAGCTTAAATAACCTCTCTGCTAAAGGGTTTCACTTAATGAGCAAGAGTTGGGCTTGATAGTTATCACTGCATTTTAAATATTTTCATTCCTCAAGGTGCTCTGGCATTCTGACTGATTTGTAACTCTGGCTTGCAGGTATTTTTAATCTAATGATTGGTATTTAGGGCAGCTTTTTGAAAGCAAAGAAGGTTTTTGTATTTTTGTACAGGTAATCCTTGACTTACAACAGTTCATTTAGTGACCATTCAAAGTTACAATGGCACTGAAAAAAATGACACGACCATTTTTCGCACTTATGACAATTGCAGCATAACTGCAACTGTTGTTCTTGGTTCTGATCTGGTTCAATAGCTTGTGATCCAATGTAAGAAGGAAGTTGAGGAACAAAGAGTGAAAGGGTACAGAAGTATTCATCCAGAATTGAAGGTTGGGCTCCTGGGGAGAAGGAGCATCTTTGGGACTGAAACTCATGTACTGTAGATACAATAAGAAGCATCAGTTGGGTCTAGGAAGGGTCATCAATCTGAAAAGTTAAAGGCTGCATTATTGTGCAGCCCTCAGTAGGGCTTCCTTTCCTTTCCCTTTCCCTTTCCCTTCCTTCCTTCCTGCTATTGCCTTTCTTCTGGGCTGTTCTTATTCTATGATAGTGTAGAACTGGGGTTGCTCTAAGCATCCTTTTGCTTCTAAACTGCCTCATTTATTTCTGTTGATTGCATGTTTTTTTTTAAGACCCTGCACAAAGATTAAAAAGCAAAGTCCCTGCCTGCAGGCTTATTCTCTGATAGGCAGAGTGCAATAGAACAGGGCCAAACTGGGAGAATCCCACCCCTGGGTGTGTGTGTATGTGTGTGTTTCAGGTGGGCTTCCTAGCTTTAGAAGGAGAAAGGGAAGGAGGGACAGAAAGAGAGAGAAAGAGGGAAAGAGGGAGGAGGGAGAGAGAAAGAGGGGGATACAGAAAGAGAGAGGGAAAGAGAGGAGAGAGAGAAAGAGAGAAGGAAGATACAAGAAAGAAAAGAAAGAGAAAAGGGAAAGAAAAAGGGAGAGAGAAAGGAAGTGAAAGGAAGGAAGGGGGTTGGAAGGAAGGGGCAGAAAGAAAGGGAAAGAAAGAGGAAGAGAGGAGAAAGTAAATGAGATATATGGATGGATAGATAAATACATGGAAGGAGGGAGGGAAAGAGAAAAAAAGAGAGGAAAGAAGGACATAAACCCTGGCTTCAGAAGACTTTGAAGCAGCACAGCAATCTAGGGCTGGCCTGCAAGGGAACTCGGAGGTCATTTAGTCCAACCTCCTGCTCCAGCAGGAGATCCTTACAGAATCAAAGAATAAAAGGGTTAGAAGTGTGTGTGTGTGTGTGTGTGTGTGTGTGTGTGTGTGGCTGTCAAAACACCAGAAACAGCCCAAGTAGCTCTGTGGAGGTCAGTCATAAATTAGAACACTTGCTAAGCAACTGGCCATTAAGTGAGGACCTGGTGATTAAGCAAGGACCACTTACATTTGGTTTTCCAGTCACATGGCCACCTGCCCAGGCCTCGCCCTGCCCTCTCCAGGGCTCCCCAGGCCTTGGAAACTGGCAAAAAACCCTTGGCCATTAAGCGAGGACCACTTACATTTGGTTTGCCAGTCACATGGCCACGCCCACCCCAGTCACAGGACCACCTAGCCACGCCCAGTCAGCAAGCCATTCCCACCCCAGTCACATGACCACCAAGCCACACCCACAAATTAGGCCATGCCCACAGAACCAGTTGTTAAGAAATTTGAATCCCACCCCTGCATAGCAATGTCCTCAACTTTGTCCTTATTTTTAGGGCTTTGTAGATCAGCGATGAAAAACCAACCCTGCTTTTTTAGTGGGGTTGAAACATGCTCTTTCTAATGAGAAAGATTTAAGAGTTTCCAGAAGGTCTTTTTTTTGTAAAAGTGGCCTGAAAATACACTATTTTTGGCATTTTTACAAAAAACGTCAACTTTACACTTAATTTGTAAACTATTGAAAAGCAGTAGGAGAATGAAATTTTATTCAAAAACCTTGTGTTGCTAAGTTATTACGTGCAAAGTTTCACGTTTATCATACCTTTCCTTCCAGAGATATAAAAAGCCAAACTAACATTTTTTTGAGCTGCAATGTTTTCAGGCCAACTTTGCTCCACATTATCTAGATGGAGATTGCTCATGAGAATGTTTTTATTATTTTGTTTAATAGAGCACAAGTAGTTGTACAAGATGGTGAAGTTTTGTTTCTCTCAACAAAATATTGCTAGAGATATGTCTCAAAGTTGCTGAAACGTCAGAGTCATACTGTAGAAGGCTGCGATATGGGGTCAAACAAATGACAAATGTTAACACTTCACCAATGTTCATTGGGGACATGTGTGCATGTTCACACAAAATTTCATCAAAATCCGTGATGGCCGAGCAGGGACCACTAGACCACTTGACATGGGATGACCCAAATAAAATATGGTGTCAACAATTTAATTAATTTCTTTAAAAGTCAAAACCAAGTAGTCTTTGTTCTCTATTTTAAAAAACACTGAGGAAAATCTCAGCATAATTCCGCCCAGATTTTTGAGACTTCCAGATACAAACACTACATAACAAAACAAACCATGAAGAAAAGTGCATCAAATGATATAAATAGAATAGAATTCTTTATTGGCCAAGTGTGATTGGACACACAAGGAATTTAATTTGTCTTGGTGCAAATGCTCTCGATGTACATAAAAGAAAAGATACATTCGTCAAGAGTCAAGAATCATAAGGTACAACACTTAATAATACTCACAGGGTACAATAAGCAATCAAATCATACTAGGGAACAGTCAATATAAATCGTAAGGATACAAGCGACAAAGTTGCAGTCATACAGTCACAAGTGGGAAGGGATGGGTGATAAGGAGTGATGAGAAGGTTAATAGTAGTAGTGCAGACTTTGTAAATAGTTGGACAGTGTTGAGGGAATTGTTTAGCAGAGTGATGGTGTTCGGAAAAACAACTGTCCTTGTGTCTAGTTGTTCTGGTGTGCAGTGCTCTATAGCGTCATTTTGAGGGTAGGAGTTGAAACAGATTATTTCCAGGATGTGAGGGGTCTGTAAATATTTTCACAGCCCTCTTTTTGACTCCTGCAGTATACAGGTCCTCAACTGAAGGCAGGTTAGTAGTTATGTTTTTTTCTGCAGTCCTAATTACTCCCTGAAGTCTGTGTCTGTCCTGTTGGGTTGCAGAGCCAAACCAGACAGTTATAGAGGTGCAGATGACAGACTCAATAATTCTTCTGTAGAACTGTATCAGCAGCTCCTTGGGCAGTTTGAGCTTTCTGAGTTGGCGCAGAAAGAACATTCTTTGTTGTGTTTTGATGACATTTTTGATGTTAGATATGCCATCTCTGCTTCTAAAATATATCAATAGCTATAATTGCAAGAATGCAGGATGTTATTTCCACAAAACTAACACTACATTCTAATAGTTCTGAACTACTACTAGACCAGGAGTGTCAAACTCAATTTCATTGAGGGCCACATCAGGGTTGTTTGTGGTTGACCTTGGGGGCCGGGTGGGCATGGCTTACTGGGTGGGTGTGGCCAACTGGGTGGGCATGTTGGCATGTTTCCTCTTCGCACTGGGTAGACCAGGA